TGAAACAAGTTCGATAGTTTTCTATGCTGTACCTAAACGGATCCATCATTCAAACCAAGATAATGACTTATGCCTGTAAAGCTATATCGACGTACAGTTTACAATATAAATGTCCGTCGTGTTTCTCTGGCATTGGTCGTTAAAAGTTAAAGTAGGTAGTTCGCCGTATGTCGTTACTCCGCTTATCGCCACCGAAGGTTAGGTTAGGCTCTACCACCCACGATACTGCCACCACTTGTAGGGAACTGGCTGATCAACAGTCAGAAAACGGACAGTAAGATGTAGTACCTATCAAACTTGACAATCATTTTCTTTTTCTAAGCGAAGCAACCGTCTACTACAAACAGGCTTATAGCTTCCTTCATCATCTGTCTGGCAAAGATAAAATGCACATACACATAAACGACTTCTTCCTATTCAATAATCATGCCAGCAATTATATGCAAATTTTTACTACTTTTTAAATATTATTTGGAGTACAATAGGCAGTGATCAGTGGCCAGCTATTTCGGCCGCTGGCAGCCTGTTCGATTCAGTCTGTCAAATTGGGTGGTGCAGATCAGGGGAGCAGCTGCGTTTTTATGGGGTGCAGAACATCCTTAAAATATACAGCGAGCTAATAGTACATACATGATATAGCGATTCCCGAACAGCGACTGTGGCCCACAAATGAAACGGACATCAGACCCAGAAAAGTATGAGAATGGCCACCGCTTTGGACGTTCGTGTAGTGTGCTCACTACGAGTGAATCACGTTTCGACACTATTAGACGTTCCTAAATTATGAACTCCGTAGCATCGTTCAAATCGGACCATCTGACTTGCTCGATCTAGCAGGGCCAACTTAATCTCTATGAGAGTTCACTGATAACCCTCAGTTCGAATGTATACGACCGTTCCTATCTACAATAACTATCGGCTTAATAATGGCTTACTGGGCGAACGCTGAATGACGGGTAATGCAGAATTGAAATTGAATTCCTACTATGCGCTAGATACGCGTCCACGTAGCGAATATGCACCACCAGGTGCTCAACAAACACTCCTCGAAAGTGATTCACAGCGATTACCTCGAAATAACGCTAAGTAATCTTGAAGGTGGCACACTTTAGTGAAGACTGCTAAGTGCCCAGCGCAACTCTCGGAAAACGTATACGAAGCTCTCGAAATAAGGAAGGTCATCGTGAATCTCACATTACGATGTGAGTCGACTGAGCACCGACGTTTTACTAAGTCGCCCTGGCTCTTCTAACAGGGGTTTCAGGGGATATCATAATGCAGCATAATGCGTGGATAAAACAGTGCAAAATAATGCTAATAAAGAATACATAACTATTAATCAGGTCTGGTCATCTGGCCATACGGGTCAGGCAGACATATTTATCATTTGCGTTTTTGACCAAAATATACATTAATGGTATTGAAACCTTGACCGATCTAGCTGACGTCGATAGAGGAGCCTCTCTACAAGCATGGACCTCACGTGGAGCAGATATGATTACTAAACAATCCGGCTTCATACTACAGTGCTTTAGTTTGCGATATCAATAGTCATCCGATAGGTACTTGTAGTTTCGATTTTTCCTACAGTCCGGTCGACTACAAAATCAAAATGAGTCCCTTCCGTATTGATCATTGTTAATCATCCACACAACTTCCATTTAATTTCTTTGCATAAAGTGTAAGCTTGCATTTAGCAATAAGTTCTAAATCAGCTAGAATATCCGCATCAACAATGCGATAATGCGAAATATTCATTAACATTTTCCTTCGAATGGTCTCGCCCTGTTGCGGCAGCAAAGGAAGCCGTCATCAGTCTTACGGGACACATCGAGGCTCTAATGTGATATTGGACAGGTGAACATCTTTGACGTATGCTAGAAAAAGTATGTTCTATCGGGTAGCGTGCGGTCCGTTCCTTTTCGCAAGTAAAGCTATAGCAAACTGGCAGTGCTACGTTGAACCAGCGACTTATCGCTGATTTTCCCCTGACGCCGTGACGTTTCCCAGAGTTTGGGTCACAAAAACCCTTGAGCCCCCTCTCGCATCATCCCCCTACTTTATATTTTTTACCCGCAACAATATGAGGCTCCAAGACAATGCTGTTTGTGGCCTTGGAATCAGCGAACTGTGTTCTTCTGCGAACAATCGTTCACAAGAAGCTCTTTGTATGATTGGCTGGTCCAACTGCTGTCCCTCTGACTCACAGGTGTCCACCTGCTGGGCGTCCAGGTTTTCTTACACTGTAACTGCCTCAAGACCTCCTTTAGTATACACAAAATTCTTAATTAATCTAAAGAAAAAAAGAGCATCTGCCACGAAGTGCGAAACTAAGCATTTTTTTTTTCTATTTTCATTTTCTCGAACGGTGTGTACACCTTTCAACAGCGTGCATGCCATGACCATGTTCAATCTCGTACTGTTTAGGTGATAGTATTACTGCTGCTATTTTTTTCCAAAAAGGTAAAAGTTTCTAGCGCTACCTGCGGGGTAAACTTACATAACTGACCAAGTATCGCATTGTACTCTATATATGTTATTTTACCGGCAGCGACGCCAGGGAAGTATACGCGTAACAACCGAGCTTGCGTGCGAGCTTGTCAGCACACGAAGCATGAAAAATAGACATGACCGTTTTTTGGCTAGGCTGGCAGGGCTGAAAGGGTTCAAGAGATCGCTCATCTGTTTGTCGACGAAAGTACCTGAGATACGAATGCTCACTGAAAAACGTCGGACAGCGCGACGGTGTCGAAATAGGCGGTAAGGACGACAGGCACGCACCTAACTCGCAGATCTCTTGAATGTAGACGAAATCGAATTTCACAGTTGGCGAGTCATAATTGAAGAATGGTGGTGCGTCCGTGATCACAATCACACAAAGACTAAATTATTTGGCTATTATATGGATGTTAGTGTCATTGACAGCGACTTAAAAAAGCAAGATTAAGAGCATTAATCGTGAGTTGTCGATATGCCAATTCTCCGCGTGAAGACCGCTCTTTATGAGGAAGAAAAATCTAAAAAATGTAATTTTTGTAAAAAATATGCCAGTACGAACCTAGAGCCTTTGTATCAAAGGTGAAAGATTTTTCTGATACTTATTTTAAATAAATTAGACCTTGGATGTACGATTAGAAAACGGTGTTATAATTGATCCGAAGGCTATTTGAATGATATAGTTAACAGTTAGTGTCTAAACTGCAACACAAAATTTAGTAAAGCTGAAACAATTTAAAAAGAAACGCTTTCGATAACTACATAAATGCTGACAAATAATGAACACAAACCAGACGATTTTCACAAGCAAAATTGTCCTGCTAATTAAACCCTTCATCACATGACTCTTCATTCACGAAAATATTAATCACTGTCGATTTTATTTCATGAAGTTAGTCAGAACTTTCCCCAAAGAACTCGAGTCGTCCAAACAACTCGAACAACAAAGCACAACTTCGGTCGCCTTTCTACGATGATTGCGAGGAACAGGCGGGGAATCTCAGCCTTATCGACCTAACACCTACGACCGTCACAAATATCGATCAGGTTGTGACATCCGCTTGCGATCCAAATGGTCAGTTTTTTTTTAATTTTAAAGCAAGGAAACAAACTGTTTCCTATAGAATGAGAACTATACATACTCTTCTTTTTCCTTAATGTGCTCATTTAGGAGGACAATACCTTCGCCACCTTTCGAATACGCTTTAGACTCAAATTGATGCGATAAATGGCCTGTCTCACGTAACAGGCGGACAGGGATGAACGGCGACGCCCTGTGGCGCTGTGATCCCGTATTTGTTATTTCTGTTTTATTAGTTGCTTGATGAAAAATCAAAATTCACGTATTCGAGACGATGTTGCTATTTGGTTCTTTTTCTTATCTTATAATAGTAAAAAAAGGTTACATTTTCATTTATAAAATATTTGATGAAGTAAAACAGATAAACATAAAAACTACTTCACGTTTTCCACGTTAATTATTTAGACGGAAATTATTGCCACATGTTTCTTTTTGTAGAGTTCTGGTGATTACGTATTAAAATGGTGACTAACTTATTCTCATAATAGCTAATGTTCCCAAGGAAACCCTCAACTACATATCTTGTTGTTTTTTCAATAATTAAATATAGATGCCGTTATTAAGATAAACGAGACACAATCAATCGAACTCATTTTTGTACCTAAAACACCAAGTGATAAAATTATATGCTTTTTTTCCATAATGATTCTAGTTCTCGTAAAATATACCCTACATGATTTATTGCAATAAATTATGGGCTATATATAAAATAAAAGTAGGAGCTACCAGTTGCAGCATGTAGAACCGCGGACTCGCCAGATTCGATGGCAATTTGTCATCGGACTACGTCGTGATGGCTGCGCCCTTTATGGCCGTAGCGGGTTGTGCTTGTCAAATGGGGCATTAAATTATTTAATCTCTGAATAAGGCAAGAAAATTTATTCATGTTGTAGAATGACCTGGTGACTCCTACTTCCTCAACAGGTCTAATAAATTATTAACTATACCGCAGTCGGTCGTTGCTAATCTGTTCGCGCACATACTTAAAGCGCGCCAGCAAAAAATAGGTTTACTACACATGATTAGTCTGAATGTATGCTACGCTAGAGTTTGTTTGGTTTGTATAAGTAGAGTGAGCATATTACGTCTTCGTTTTTTTCAACTTCATTAGGGCCAGCTTGAGCAAAGATGCACGCCATGTTTTGCTGTGTTCAACGTATATCCAGACCGAATAGCAGGAAAATTTGCGTATTGAACCTGGATTCGAACACGATGTAATGCTCAACATACAAGACTGGATTGTTATAATTAAGATTGTAATTAAACCATATATAGAAATGTCAAAAAAGTAGTAATCATGCTTCCTTATATTCAATATTTTTAGAAAGACAGCCTTGAAAAACCGATTGGTGTTCCAGTTGTTTTACGAGCTACGATGAACACTAACTAGAGGCTTTCGCAAGTTTGCGATTGTTTAACTTACCTAGCAAAACGCCGATAAGTAACCGCAGCGCAGCTGGCGTGCAACCTAGTACACTAGCCGCGGCCTCCATCACGCGGTGAGTCCGTTATGTTGCTTTTTGGTTTGCCCAGGTCAAATGTCTATGTTCCTTCCACAAGATCGATCCTCCTTTCCGAGTTGTCGCCTTGAAATGGTGTTCGATTAGACTGTCGGTTAAAAGAAAACTTATTTTCCTTCAAATCGGTCACTATTCTTAGTCTGCCTCACGCTGGCGAACTTAAATCCCTGCTGACTTCACTCGGTTCCCTTGAACTCGCACAGCGTACTCGTACGGTTCATCAGCTTCGAATGTCGCCACTGACTGAGTGGGTGGAAAAGAAATCCAAATTCTAGTTAGTCAAGTCAAGTTAAACTTATCACAGTACGTTGGCACAACGCACCAACTTCCTTACACCTGCACTTATTTTTTTCCACCGGTTATTTTTCAACAAACTGTGCCCCGAACCTGTTCTGGAACTGCTTCAGCGAGCAATTGCTAACCATCCTAATCAAGCACCATTTTTTCCATGCATCCCAAGTAGATTTCCACTTCACCAACAGGAATGCAAACTACACCTAGCATTAGTTAATTAAACCCGAGCATACGCAGTCCGCAGCATACGATTACGATTCTTAGCTCTTACAGGAAACTTCTGCTGCTACTGATATTGACTACACTTTCATTGGTCTTGGCCTCCACTAACTGGCCATTGCACCCCTAAATCAAGACAATATCTGAGGCATCGCTGAATAATCACGCTAAATCTGCTTTCCCGCACGTCCAGAGTTCACGTCAACACCACAGGCAATCTTTCACTGGTTTTCGCTTAGCTGCTTACCTAGGCCGCTTAGATACACTAATTTTTATCATAATACACCCAGTAGCAGATTCGACTCGTCTGCGTTTGTCCAACAACAACAATAGCAGCAGCAGCGACAATGGCAGGCAAACGCCGCTATCTATACGTGCCACTTGATTGACTTATAATCTCAATCGACATGAGCTACCGGCCCGAAGCAATAGAGAGAAGTTTTACGGATCTATTGCAGATAGCAACACATAGACAGCCGTCACGACGAAATCGGCAAAGCTCTTGTCACGCCACTTTGACCGAAAACATGGCGAGGACTAAGTGTACGTGCTGGCGAATCCGTTTCCGTATACAGGCACGACAGTCTACCATAATGAGCGTCTGAATTTACCTCATTCGTCTAGATAGAATTGTCGCGCCTCTCACTGTGTGTACCGTGACAACGAATGCAAGCCGGGGCACAAAACGCTCAAGCCGTCGTGGTAAATCAAAATAGAGCAACCAAAGGGAAATTAGATGATGCTGTACACACTGTGCGGTAATTACAACACCCGAAAAAGGGGGACCATAAAGGCCGCAACGCTCAGTATGTATCGATAAACGCGAAAATTTATTTATAAACACTGCGAAGTCATCGCCGTTCGCAGAATATAACAAATACAGGAACTGATGAGATTAATGCTCGTACGGTGCGTATTTTGTGGCACCGGCAGCAGCAGTCAGTAAATAATCAGTAAATGTTTGGAATCATTTGAAGCGACCGTATTTAGATGACACCGGAGTGGAGCGGCGGCGCACTTAGAGGGCTGAGAAGGACAGTCAATGAAACGGACAATACAAAGTACCTATCGTATCAGAGGCAAACGTCCTCCAGCGCGAATGCCGCTGTTATTGTTTCATCTTCTAGACTATTTGCTTGCCCGAGAAACTTGAATGCACCTGGGCACACGCATGCGCACGTTAGGACCACGCTGTGCCAGCGTGCTTCATTGAATTTGGCACAGAATCGTGCCGTGCAACACCAGACAAGCACGCTGGACATTGAATTGTGTAGAGCGGACCAATCAATTAGATTCCTCTTGTTGTCGGTCGCTTTACGATCGTGTCATGTCCTTCTTTCTTCATTCGAAAAAAGTATATGTGTATACAAGTATATGTTCACTAAGCGACTCACAAGCATTCTATCTATACCACCGTTATTGACTAGTCGACACCTTTTGTCGCGGAGGGCGTTATCGGCGACTCATGGCAGTTACTTGTTGTCCTGCTGTTCTCTCGAATGCTGAAATATCCCACACTACTGTATGTACACCGTAGACTTGAGTAGCGTTCGTGATGGCGCACCCGAGCCTGCGCGTCCTTTGTCTGCCACTGAACCCACACCCCAATAACCTACGGCGAGCGGCCCTCTGACAGCCCGTTCGTTACTGGCTGGCACTGGCTGCTTTTCGGCACTGTGTCGATCTGTCGGCCCGCCACCGTCCGGCTGCTCCTATCTGTCTCTTTATCCACACATTCGTTTCTATGTATATCCGCCAAAGTGGTTCAACAGCGTAATAGCAGCACCAGCGTATTATAGCGCTGGATGCCTTTTCGAATGTGTAGTTATTTAGGCAGAAAGGCAGACCCCCGCATACTTGTTTGTCTGCTGCTGCGGCCGCAATGTGTATGTTTCATGCCGCCGCTATTTGGTGTGTTTATCCTCGTCGTCGAATCGTCGACACCCCTGAATGAGAGGGTAGAACTCGGTGAGGTTTTGTGATAGTGAAGTGGTTTGATGGTTGTTTCTAAGTGAAGCCGCAACGGCAGCAGAGAAAACCCGCCGTCGGCGGCCGCCGACAGCATCGCTACTGCAACATGCCGATCGAATACGCGAGTATCCCAGCAGAGTCGAGCTGTTGGAAGACTCGTGGGATATTCATTGGACAATCCTGCCCCACGTGGCGAGAGCGGACGCAATGGTCACAGACGCGCCGCAGATAAATCGTGTCGAGGCATATCAAACAAACGCAAACAGAGCGGGCAATGTCGTCTGCTAAATTTCGAAAAACGGCGGCCGGCCTAGAGGCTATATTGAAAAAAACGCAATGCGTAGACGAAACGTCAACGGATCGCGTCGCAAATTCACACAAATCGCGCTCAAACGGTGCGGCAAAAAATGTTGTTCGACACTAAAACTAATGCCATTCTGTTGCGTGAAAGCGGTATTTATTGATATTTAACCTAGGTCCAGCGATTTTGTTACCGTGAATTGATTCATACGTAAAGGACGTGAGAAATCCCTTTAAACTATGTGCAACTGGAGGTAATTAAGGGTATGTATCCATATGTATATTAATCCGATAAAAATCATTACTTTTACGGCGTTCGCGTTTTCAACAGCATTGCTCAGGATAAGTTATGAGTTTTCCGAGCGGTACCAGCCAACATTAGCCTTACACTCTTGAATATGTTACCATGCCAGATCAATAGAGCTGGCATGGTAACATATTCAAGTTTAGAAAATAACCTATCTGAAGCAATTACGTTACAAACACTGTTTTCTCGTGGAAATGTTTTGTTGTACATAAAGCTGTTGACCATTTATCTACCAAATGTCTAAGAGTCTTTAAAAAAAAACACGTTTGGTACGTTCATGGTAGTATCATTAATTCGTGTCCTTTATGTAGGTTAATGCAAATGTCAACACATTTTTTAATAACTGTCAAAATAAAAGCGTACCATTTTATAATTCCTGTTAAGTGAGTCTGGAAGAAACGGCTATATTATTTCTACGAATGATATCGATGTTTTGGACAGAACCAATAGTACATTTTCGTCATAGGCGCTGATTAAGGCAATTCGTTCTCGATTATTTATTAATGAAATGCAGAGTTAACTTTGTTGAAAAACTACAGTGTAGTATGTGTGAGATTTTTTATGTGAAATAACCTACAAAGAAGTTGAGTTTTGTGCGATTCACTCTTCTGTTGTCAACATCTTGGTTCAACAAAGCAAACGTCGTTATGATATTTATATTAAATACATACTTACTAACATAAATTTTTGTAATAAAATTTTACTGTAATACATTTACCTGATTTATTATACACCATAATAAGCACCTATTTTGTCAGAAACAAGAAAAGTTTAACTTTGCTACCGAAGCTAAGCAACACTTCACGAAGCATTGTGCCTTACGCTGAGAGTATAAGATATAGAAGTAATTAAATATTGAAACCAGTTAGAATGCTTGCCAACCTACCCTCGTTAAAATGTTGCTTGAAGACAGGCGGGTTGTGATGTTCAGAAAATTAAAATGTAATGATAGACGGACTTAATAGGGCAAAGCTGCCTTGTTTCTAGTTAAAATCGGATTCTACCAGTTGTACTTAAATTGTCCTTTTTTGCTTTAATTGTGACCTCTGCATTCTGTGACACTAACAGCCGATGTCGTTGAGCAGTCAAATTTTTAAGAAAATGAGAACTTCCGGCTAAAGTTCTCCATAACACTTGACAATAATTGCTCGACTGAATACACTGTACAACTTCTTCAAATTTGCTAGTTGCAATAGTAAATTTAATAAAATTTATAGTTCACTCGAAATTGATTTCTGAAGAGATAACTCGCCGAGGTGCATGTCCGGTACAGCTTTGAGAAACGGGTCATACCTGCGACGCGCCCATACTAGCGTACCGAAAAACCAAGACAACGTCATTATCCAAAGTGAAACTGAAACTGCCCGAAACAAAATCGGCAACAGCACAAAAGAGTTAACTGTGTTCCCAACGCCTGCGAGCGTCGAGTACGCCACGCATTCGGCTGTCTTATCATTCAACACAGATGTACTATTGGAAATCGTCGAAGCCGGTTCCGGACAGAGTACGTTGCCTTGAGTGGCGTAGACCGCATAAAACATCAGCTCTTGACCCATACTTAGAGGCGAAACAAACGAAGCTATTTTCCAGCCTATGGGAACGTTGTTCGCCTCGATATCGAGACCGTGAACAATGAACAGTCTACAGGGTACGATAGCCATTGCAAGAAAAAGGAGCAGACATAAGTGGCCTATAAATACGGACTTTCGTGACGACACCGGGTCATATAGAAACGCCAAAAGAAAGCCAACACGACCAAAATTGTAGGCCGTCAATAGACCTGCCAAGATAAATAAAAATGGCGCCCAAGAACTGGCTGTTCTGCTTCCCGGTGTTATTTCACCACGAACCTGCTGCTGTCCGGTAACCAGAAAGACGAACATGCAGACTGAGCTTGTGCACAGGGTTGACATTGTCGTAGTTGTAGAGCTCAAAGCCAACAAGCTCTCTATCAAGGTGTACGTTGCGTTACGCCACTCACGATTGGCGACTCTGAGAAAGCAACGTGTCGCCCGGAAACCCATATGTAGCGACTGCAGTGCTACGAAAACCTGCAAAAAGAAGTATATGTTCATATCAAAGTATGGTTGCACCTGGTCGCCGAGCTGGTTTCGTCCGGCCGCTAGAAACGCGCACATTGTAGCAAATGCGCAACTGCACATGACCGAAACAGGAATCAGCCACACGTTCGAGGTAATTTCGTTCAGCATGATCTCGGAAAATACCATATCGCCCCCTCGGAGCCCTCGCTTAATCCGTGGCAAAGTCTCCAGCTGTTGAGGTACTCGAGCTTCCTCTTGCTTGATTCTCCCAGTTGAATCTCGCTTAAATCGCGCTATGTGACTAACTGTTTGTGCAAACGTATGTGATTGACTTGCCGTTCGTTTGAATACCTCAGGATTAGAAGGTCGGCCCTGAAGTATCAGTGAGCCGTCACGATCAAAAAGGTAAATTCGATCGGCATTTTTCAGCAGCAACGTCGCATGTACACTCGAACTAATAATAATTGTGCAGCCTTTTTCGCGCAAGTTTTTCAAGAGGTTAATGATATATGTAACCTGCCAATAGCGAAGGCCAATAAACGGTTCATCAAGTAGGATCAACTTGCGTGCGCAGCTGAGTACCATGTTGAGCGTGACAAAATTTGCAATATATTCCGGTAGTGACACTGTAATAAGTTCGCGAACCGCGGTGACCTGATACAGGACCGAACCGATCGTCTCCTGCAGCTCCTTATTTTTTGTATCTGTTTTCTCTGATTGGTCAGGCAAGGCTCTATGTACATAGCTAGCAATTGAATCCTCAAGTCCTAAATGGTCGAAAAGCATTTGCCGCCTATCGTTTCCGCGGCTGTTGTCTATTGAGACTGTCATATTTTCAAGACCAGCTGTGCCTCCTCGTATGACCTGGCCGCCGTCTGGATTGATCTCGCCAGCAAGAGTACGCAACAACGTCAGCGGAGGTAACGGCGTCATTCCAGCTATAAGCACGATGCTACTTGCGTTCGCAAAACCGGAAACGTCACGAAGTACCGTATCACTATCGGCCACTGCCTCACCACTTTCTCCATAATTTTCTTGTTGGCATGTTGAACGATAGCATCTAATCGACTTCCAGGCGAGACGGATCGGGTGCTCATCTTCAATCGCGGGCCGATTTTCGTTGGGCGGATCTCCCCCTCCTCTATGCAAGCCTTGCGTCGTTGATGAGGGATTAGAACGATTAGAAACTTGAAAACTCTCAGACGAGCATGGGCTGTTTTCATAGTCGCTATTGTCGCCGTCGTTCTTCGCAGTTCCACTTGAATTTTCATCGGACATGAATCCGCGGGGAAATCGAAATACACAGTAAACGTAGATCGGAACTATTTCCCGTCCTATTCGTTATTACAAGCGGAAAGTGTTACAAAAAAAATTAAAATGGAATCAAGAGAGGGTTTCCTTTATTCAGCTGCCAATACCCTGTGGAGTATACCTTTGGCGATAGGCTAATTACTAGCCACTCCTTTGGTAATGATACAGTAAGAAGGGGAATGTGTGATATGACGAGCAAAGTAAGTAAGTTCAACACAGGCGGATCTCTATTCCTTTTAGAACTAGTCGAATATCGCGAATACCATTACTGAATTTACTGCAAGCAAGTTGAATCTCGACCGAAATCCATTTCTCCTGAAACATCGGTTGCTAAATTGAACTGACTTACAGCCCCCCCAACGAAAGCTGATGCTCAGTCCCTCGAAAAATAACAAACGCTGTTTCGCGACGGCTCGTATCGTTATACATGTGACAGTGCTGTATAGCAGCCAAGGATATTCCTGGAAGGAGTCACGCAAAAACTGCTCAACGACGGACGCTATAGATATTCTGCGCTTCTGACTGTTTGAGTCCAATAGTGTGGCCAGAGTTCTGTGCACTGGCGCTCTCTCGATCTGTTTCTTTATCGAGAAAATTAGTGCAGTGTACACCGTTTAATCATCTTCGCCCCATAGCGACAAATGTCTCTGTGCGGATCGGCATGACAACGTCGCCCGCCACAACGAAACGGCGCAGTCAACTATGCTGCCACCATCATGACTACAGCGGCCACAGTCGTCGAAGGCTGTGCGACCAATCACATAGCTGAGCGTAAGGGATGAGCGATACGCTTTACATCTCCGTGTTGTGAGCGTCTGCTTGATTTTACTGGCACTGCCCGCTAGTTGGCGACTTGCTTGTGCTGCCCTCACTCCACTTTGTTAGCAACTGCCGACCGCGTTCCACATAGCAGAATCAGATGTTGTTGCATCAGCCTCTGCCCAGCTGATACTCATATTGCTGTTTACCTTAAATTCATGAACAAGACACACCCATTATTAGAACTATTATACATTTATATCCATACCTATCGCTGTTCCGTCATTCCTCAATAGTACTTCGCTATCTGGCTAGGGAACTACTGAGTTGTCCGTTTGTATACAAATAACGCTGTGGATGTTTGCGACCTCGTGTCGGCGCGTGAGTGCGAGTATCGCTTCGTATATCGGTTTGTCTGCAAGCGCGCTAGCGACAAGTTGAAGACGAAACGTTGTTAGAAGTGCAATGCACTCTCAGCATTCCCATGTGCTGCTGGGTGCGCGACGCTACAAGGCCACTCTGTGTTGATATAGAGGGCTCTGCTGTCGATTTTGTGTCGAGGCTTTGTAGGGCACATTAGGTAGCAGCTCAGCCAGCTATTGACGACGCCTGTGAGTGCGCCTTGCTGCTCCCGCGGCTGGCGCTCCTATAGCTACTGCCGACGCCGCCGCCGCACTGGAAACGTCGCCAAATAATCACAGTGTGCGTTGGAAAGAGCAGCAGTCGTTATAGCGAGCCACAACAACGAAAGCAGACAAATATGTGAGTTGCTGTGAATGCAAGCGAGCGCCTATAGTACAATTGATTCGGCTGGTTGTGATTAGCAGTTCATACATGATATACCCGCATAGTCAAAGAATTGTGCGGTGGCGCTAACAGGCGCACGATATCGATATTGTGCGCTAAGACCTACTTATCTACAAAGAGAGAAGCTGAATTTTGAAGAAGCTGCCCCCTGATTTACTGTTGGTATTAGCTGGAATTCCAGACGAATCGTGCAGCTGAGTAAGTCGTCCGGGTATGTAGTGAGCGCACAGTATTTGGGCCGAGTCAGAACAGTGGCCATACCAGGCATGACTATACCAGAAGGGTTAGATGATGGAGTTAGACAGGCCTCATTTCTCCGCTAGCAGACTGCTTAGGCCGAACTGCTCAAACACATCGGAGGAGATCGACAAACAAGTGCAGTTAAAGTAGACACACCCTTCGAAAATAGGCGAGTGTGTTTAAGTGTTGGTCTAAGTGCTTTTTCGAGCCATCTGGCCACCCCCGCTTTCTGTGTATACCAGTCAACAGGCAACCGCCTCAACAACAGTCTACGTGAGCCAGTTTACAACTCATTCATCGGCAACTAGTCTATTGCCTTGTTGAACTTGTTTTCAAAGGCAACGGCCGCAGATCAGTTGGTTTACCATCGGTGCCGCCGGCTACCTCAGCTAGGTCCAGCATCCGGCCTTTGCCGACCTCGACCATTCTTCGACAAGATTTCGTACTGTCGCGCAAGATCAATCGTGATGCTGAACGCGCGAGCCTATTAATGGTATACAGTCCTACGAACATAGCTAGTAGCGACATATGTTAAACCAACGGCAACCCCGCCGCTATAACCATTCTAATAAGACAGCGACGGCCGCGTCCGCCGACCAGACCCGACCCGTCCCACCCCATACGGATGCTTCTTGCTGTTGGCGTTACTATTGCTGCTGCACTGGGAGAGCTGCCGACTCGCTCCAAGTCCGTGTGCTGCTGCTACAGTGTGCTAAGCACCGACGCGCCGTCAGCGCGCCACTCTGTTCTGCTAGCACAACCAACGCTGACCCGGGCAGCAAGCAGTCGCCAGAAAGTCAAGCAACAAATAAGCAAGAGTTATCCGCTAACGGTGTGGGGCATCATCAGCCGGCCAACACCACGCTTCTACTGGGAACATCAGCGAAAAGCTTATAGTGGCAAAATAATTATACAATGAACCAGGCAGGAGTAGAGACCGCTGCAGGCCAACGATAACGATTATAACAGGCACAAGAAAAAACGCAGGCAGTGAACGCAAAAAGAGCTTAGCGACGAGCTACAGTTAATCAATATCATCATGGTGAATAGCGAATAAGATCCAAGTAACTGAAGCAATTAATGTTTTGCTGAATAATTACTGCTAGAATTCTAATCATGGTGATGCTTTTACGTTGAGAAGTGATCATCATAGCATCGTTGTGGCGGATCAAAAAAGTGGCGAGGAGGGAAAAGTTGAGAAGGGGAAACCGATGACCCAGACCCAGGATTACCTGCCAGGGCTGTATCGCCTTTAAAGGTGATGTTGCTGATGGTAAATTGGTTGACCGAATAAACAAGCAATCGGCAAAGGCAGCCTGTCGCCATCTAAACTCTGTAGGGGGCATTGCGACAACGGGTGTGGGGAACACAGTTCAGAACGTGGCGGTATCGTTTTACGCGGTGTTCACCGTAAACTGACTAATCAGACTGACAACAACTGGAAACAAAGCTGTGCTTTTTGACTATGCGGTCGTGCAACGCCTTTATCCTATCGAAGTTGATGACCGGTATCAGTCACTCACAAACCTGACAACGGAATCAGCATCAGAATCAACCTCAGAAATATACGAAGGTAGCTCAGTCTCTCAAGAACATAGTAAGTACTCAAGGTAATTGCGCGGGGATCCGGTTCCAGGTGGTCGAAGTGACAGTGCTACATAAATTTGCGCTTCGCGAATGTTCCGATTTGATTCGGGCATAAAAACACAACAGCTGGGTGGTGTGAACACATGGCTGATCTGGACGGTACTATGAAAGGTATCGTAATCGTAGTTCTGTAACCTCACCTTTTTCCATGTGCCTGTATGTACGTAGGATACTGTAATATGATCAAATACTTCGTCACATAAATTTGAAGTCGATAGTAGTCAATGAAAAAAAGATCAAGTTCTGTTTTGAAGTGGAGAAACTTTTATGACCAGCAACACAGATCCGCAACGGTTGAGTGAATGAAGCACTAAGAATAACTATTCTCAACTGAAGACCGAGAAGTATAAAGTAAGTGTTATATACTTATGGAGGTGTACACTTTTTTGTATTAGATGCATTTTAATCTATCGGTCTTAACTGCACGTTTCCAAAGTTGATTCATCCAGTGACAAGGGATGTACATGTGTTCGACATTTTTTCCATTGATACACATCAACTAATTGTAAATATCCTAACGAATTCAGCCTCTATCTCAGCTAAACTCCATGCATCTATTTCTTTATCGCCTTGCATATGTATGTACCTGCACACTCCCATGCTTTTCTCACATCCTAACGATAGAGATGACTTAAAACAGAAAGAACTATTCGATGAATTTGTCAGTATTTTCATACTGCTTTACAGCGTTGATATATGAAATATGCTCAGTTGCATAATGCCGTAATGATGATTATGATGTTATGAAAACTATGAAGCTATTAAACAAGAGATAAGAATCTATAGCTGCCTCGCCCCTCAGTCACAGGGGGACGAGTCTTTACACAGCTTCGTACAACATTACTTATGTATATGTGTGACGGTCCAGAGCGTATATTTATAGAACACGATAGCGGCGTGTGTATCGCGCAACGTAGTCTCAACGAGCGTTGTCAGAACCAAACGAACAGGCAATACAAGACTCAAAACGAAACTCATTGGCGAAGCAAGCTTGGGAGAGAAAGAATGCAGCGCAGACAACTACAGTACGCTATAAAGCGGCATTCGTTCGCTAGCACGGTGGTGTTCTACTGCGAAGCGTTGCAGTTCCACAACTATCGTTGATGGTATTGGTGGTGTGCCATATACTGGCGGGGTCAGCTACTCTCTTTGACTGTCGCCATGTTATTCCCTATGGCTAGCTGCAGTCGCGGAGTTAGCTAATGTAACGGCCCCGAATACTCAACGCGTCTTGATCTGGCTAGAGTCGCCCGGGTGGAGTCCGTCCGAAGACGTGCCATACCTTTCATTGCCAGCGAGCCGCCAAGCAAGCCAACAGATATGGCTGCTTGTAGGACGTTTTTATTTCGTTAATTTTGCCTTATTGGAAAGAGCAAATACCACCAAACAGCAGCACTGGCGCCAGCGTGTAAATGAGAAACACAGTATTGTAGCAATACAACAATTATATTATTGGGCGATAGCAGGCAAGTGGGCGTCAGTACTGACGTCTGCCAGTCCGTCAATTCGCTAATGAACAGGTTGATGGCTGTGGCTGATTGTGAGGCACCCTCAACATTTAAAGTTTTAAGAAGTACATGCATGCACGGCTGCTCGTATTCAGGTGCAACAGTTAGAAGATGAAGGCAAGTATTCGAAAAAGAGAATAGTTTTTAAAAACATCGAGAGAAGAAATGATTTGATGATCTCGGCATGCAATAATATATCATGTAGGACTGCGAAGGAGGAGTGACTAGTAAAAAGCAAAATCCTTGATAGTACACCTTTCTTCCCTAAGAACTGTTAAGTAGGATTACTAAGGGCAGCAAAGTTTAGGTTGCTAGTTAGCTCAAAAATACGGTGAGGTCTAAACGTCACAGTAAACTAAATTTGTCTCCCTAATTTCTAACTAGCAGTTTAAATTTCGTAACCGAGGCGTGTAGAGTCGATTCGAAGGTGAATATGAAAAAAAATGCTTGAAAGGCTCTTCATTCTACCAAACTAATTCAACTAGTTCCTGCCTAGCGGAAAAAAGGTGTTTGTTTTCCTTTAATCATTCTTTCTAGCATATTTGTATCCTTAATCGTATCGAGTGTCGATATTTTTCGTTAGGCTCAAAAACAATCCGGCTTAAACGCATAGTTAAACATATTCCTAGTTTCAATAATTGTTACTTAGAGCTAGCGTGGCAGCCTATTAACTCACCAATCTAATATGTAGTGCCTTAGAAAGGATGATAAAGCATGAAACCATTCGCAAACAGAAGTAATTGTTCTTAATCTGTACTATAGAAAATTGATAGAGATTATTTCATTGTCTTATCTTCAGGTGAAGAAAATAGACTACTACGTGTACAGCAACCCGTCAACGAACGTTGCTCGGGAAACGCAGTTCAATTTACTTCTATTACGATGGGGGAACCAGACAAACCGTTAACGCGCTTCGACGAAATCCGAGAAAATCCTGCAGAGCTCAGTGAAAAAGAATGGCGAGATAGGTTGACCCCTGATCAGTTCTACGTCTGCAGGCAGCGTGGCACCGAACCGGTTAGCATGTAGTTCATATTAATACGCGTTCATATTTGCAAGGCATCAATAAAGCTTACGCAATATATGCAAAGCCAAACTAGGAAACAACGTGTATGAGGTAAATGGCTTGCTATTTGAAGCTTCCAAATTAAGTTCCAGAGTTGCGACCGGCTTTCCAAATATTGACCGAGTTAATGATCAGTTTAGTGATCGAGTTTAATGATTTAAACCGGATGTTGGAGATTTGATTGTAAGGTCATGATAGATGATGCAGAAAAAAGATTTATAATAATGAATATTCAATTAGCTATTTAGGCGTGGTGTTGGAAGATGTTGCAGCTTCAATGACAATTTGATTTACAATAACATCATTATATGTATACACAAAATATTTCGGTAGTTTTGTATTTTTTGATTGACAACTTTATGAAGTTTCTTCGTAAAAATACGCATTTTGATAACATTTCTTCACTCACATAATTTCTCTAGTCTTTACGCATACGAAAATGATTCAGAAATATTCTTCTCTGATCAGAGGTACATGTTTTGACAAGAAGCTAAAAGCCAGTGTCCGATCATTGACCACACGTTCGAATCAGGCCTTGCGGTTAAGAAAAGTCAGCAGCACATTTCCGAAATGTCGAAACAAACGCTCACCCAAGAGGTTTAGTTTTTGTACAAATTCTCATAATGGCATGTCACAACGTATTGCTGCGAGGTTTATTGTATACAGTACAGACAGGTTGCTGTTTTCCATCTCACACTGTGGAATTGCTAAGCACGTGTAGATACGACATAATTGCCGTGTGTATTTTTTTCGATTATTACTCGTTGGTAGTGACGAATCATAGCCGTCAAACAGTAGGGGCAACAGCTATATGCGACGCTACCATTGACATTACCCATTGGCATCGACAAGATTTGCGGAATATTCCGAAGCTCGTGAGACTATTTTATGTAGTGTACAGATCATATCAATAAAGCAACACGTCCTTTTACCATTACATTTTTTCTGGGCGAACGATATGGTATCAATGAGCGAATTAAGAAGGACGGCTGTATTAGCGGCAACTGTTGCTTGGCAGAACTGAGCGTCGTATGATCAACACACGAATTAACAGGCAAGACGATAACAACCGACAGATTCTAATAGGAGGAACAAAATTGATTTCTGTATGATCAGCTTGCTAGCAGAGCAACACTAAAAAATTCATAATGCCCCTATGGTACATACTGAATTGGATATACACAGGAAAAAATAGGTCAGGCATACTAGTCAGTTCTGGACTCGAGGTACAAAAAGCGATCGTATAATGAACACAAATGGTATAAAAAATATAACATTAGAAACAAAACTAATTTACTATGTGCTGAATTTGCAACTCTAGCTATATACACATATGAATTTTGATTGATAAATTATGAGTTACTGCCGAGTGTTTTGGAAGTAGCATGCACGGGGTTTGGTGCACATGAAAACATTGTAGAATCTCTTGCCAAACAATATTGTATTGTGTGAAGTTTAAAAACTTCACACAATACAATATTGCTTGTGTACTTTTCTTTTCAGATTGAATAGTCCACTATGTATAGGTATACATATAATACACAGTGAGTATTTTTCCGTTTTCTACCAGCTTGTTTATCCCGCACAACGATCTGCGCAGGAGACGTTGTCCAACAATCACATCACTGCTATTTTTCATATGAGGTTGTTGTTTCAAACGCTTGGCCGGCTTGCTATGGCTGTTCGGGTTTATTTGTTGGATATTGCCAAAATGTAGAAATGCTACTACAATGTGTGTACAATACTTAGCTAAACACTAAGTAAAAGTGTATATGCATTCATAAATCCATAATAGTTTTACTGCATGTCTTCATTGAATTGCAGGCATACGTCGGGCGGTATGTGAAGTTCGATAAGAAAGGAACTTATCATTGCATGGCTTGTGATGCTTTTCTGTTCAAGTAAGTAGCATAATGGCATCGATTCAAACCATAATAGTTTTGTAGCTCAGTAATTTTATTGAATATAGATCAACGCAGAGACTAACAACAAATGTCGCGTACACTTTGGTCTTAGCTAATAAGACCAATGTGTACACTGAATAGGCGAATTTATATGTATATAAATTGATCTTATATACGAGAGAAATATAAAATCTTATATATTCTCCTATCCTATTTATAGTAACTGAGAAATGCTAACGACAATAGCTAACTGAACTCAACGAAGCTTTCTACATAATGCTTTAAGTATTGTAAAATATCATTAGTACAATATAGCATTTATTCCTATTGAATACGTGAAATATATACTGGACGTTCCTGGCCATATGAGCAGACGCCTAATCCCACAAAGCCATTGGCATTATGAATTGCCCATTTACATTGTGTATCATCATCTCAAAATATTAACGGAGAATGGCTCTTTTGTGCAATTTTCCAGATCCGAGCATAAGTATCCATCGAACTGTGGCTGGCCGTCATTCTTCGCTGCGCGTCCTGGCGACGTTAAGCAGAGAACCGGCGGTCGAGACGACAACAGTGAAGCAGGACAAGAAACAGTCAAACGGCGCGAAGATAACTCTCTGGGTATGACCCGCGTTGAGGTTTCGTGTCGACTGGTAAGTAACAACCACATACGTTCATACACCTTCATACATCTAGAATCAGGGACGTAGAAGTTCATTGTCCCAGAAGAGTGCCGCATATCTTTGTAATGATAAATAATAATAACACTCCTCGTTAACTGCAATCCAATGTTGTCTAGCTGTTACGACAATCACTTTCACGATTTGGCGTGCCATCCACAGACTATTTCTCTTAAGTTGATTCTAAGATCATATTTAAACAAAGATATTCCTACGAAACTGACTGCATGTGTAAAAAGTACCATATATAATGGTCATGTTCATTTGTAACTACCCTTTATAGCGATTAACTGATTTTAATTGAAGACCTGAACAACTTAATAGTCATTCAAAGTATTTCGTATTTTATACCCAAGTACTATTTAACCATCCATCAAGCAATTTTGGCATGTGCAGGCTCGCCGCCTAAACACGCTGTATACAAGAAGTTTCAATAAGACCCAAGTTTGGGCTGATAGCAGCCTGTAAGTCCCAAGAATGCAAGAGCTTAAAATCAAGAAAAAGGCTGACAGTTGAATTTACCTGAACCGCCTAGATTAAAAATGACCTTTTGAGTTAATTTTATAGATCTTCATTTTTAGGATTAAATTCAAATCCTATTGTAGATCTTTCAATCCTATATATGAGTATTTTCCTTGCATTTTGTAAGAGGCGCATGAAGTCTGACAACGGTAATTTTGGGCGAAAAATCTTGTATTGTGCCGGGGTTCTATAAATATTAAACAATAACTGACTTGCGCTCAAATTGCGAAAAAAGGAAATTGTTATTTGCCATCATGAGTTTGTTGTTTTGTCCTTGAAAGAAATTACTAATTCTTCCTTCCGATATCAAGGGTAGTGCATGAACGCATGCTCGCTTTAACATACAGCCCGCCAAATTTGGCCTAAATTCGAATGCCGCATCCGTGTAAACATAAACATGCGTAAACGCATTGACGCACTGGTCGTCTCAATTCGTCATGCGAAAGTATACAACGTGTTATCCCGGTTACCAATCCCAAGTCCATTGTCTAAAACACGTTGATCTGTTATTAATTTCATATACCTCTTGCTTGCTTAAGTGTAATTCCCATCTAGGTCACGTGTTTCCTGACGGGCCTCTTCCAACGAAAGAGCGTTTCTGTATCAACTCAATGGCTATCAACTTCCGCAAAGCTCAACCTCCAACATCTTCATGTTTATACACGACTACGTCAAGGCTGACGCCGTCTTCTGCCCGGCAGAGAACGCAATCGCCAGCCGCGCCCCAAACTGACAACAACAGTACTCCATCAACTACCACAGCTGCTACTGCTGCTACCACCTCCATGGCTACCGCTGCGGCTGTTACCCCCGTGAGCTCCAGCGGGAGCAGTGGTAAAGGCACGTTCGCTAGCAACATTGCAAGTAGCCGCAGCAGCAGCGCAAGCCATAGCCGCGACTCTTCGGCGCATCGAAACAGGGACGACTCGTCACATCAAAGGTCGTCAGTCACACCCCTAGCCATGTCTACATGTTGTGGGCCTTTGTCATTGACTTCAATGACGAGATGCTTGAGTGCTACTACGACGACGAAAACGATGACAAAATGTCCGCTTAAGACTAGTAGTATCATTAGCAGATCAGCTAAGGAACAGAATCTATCTCCTGCAGAGTCGCCGAAGAAAGCAGCTTCAGCTGCAAATAAGCAGACTGGCAAAATGCACAGTAAAAAGGCAACGACAACGAAGGTCAATACGACTGCTTCCACGGAGGGGACTGTTCATGCTACTTCAAAAGGAAACCCCTCCAGGAATGTGGATAAAGCTGCTTCTCTTAAAGTTGAAATCTCCTCTTGTTGTCGTAGGGCTCTTGAAACTTCCGCAGCTGTTAGTGGTTGTAAAATGGAGAAGTCCGGCGACAAATAGGGCCGTTGATACCCGTATATAGTAGCGTATTTGTTTTTCCTTGTTTTTGTTTACTGCATTGTACAGGACAGCACGTAGCTTCTCGGAAGAGCTAAAGAAAATTGACAGAGCGAATGTATTTCGTAAAAAAGAAGCGAAAGATGGGTAAGGCAGTGCGATGCATCGGCGGACAAATAAGCTCTAAAGAGTAAGCCAGAATAGCTGGAAACTTATTGTGGTATATTGATTTTTGAGAAGTAAGGTACAATGAGGCCAGAACACTTGGCCATCGGCAGTAGCATAATTTGTGTTCACAACGTTAATGTCGTTTGGAATCAATAAGCGTACTTCTTAAAATGCGCAAATACTAAATTACTAGGCACGCCTTTGTGAGCTTCTTAAGATTTTTTTTTGAAAACCAAGACACTGTAATTTCTGGATGGACTAATAGAAATGAAAAAATCACTACTGTTTTGCGAAACGCACTTTTGACCATCAATTTCCGCAATATCTGTATTATGTTATCGTCTTTATGGTAGAATAATAACTGTAATTTCCATCTATGCCGAAAGTATCACTCAGCTCAAGACCTGTTTATTTGCTCGGGTTTGTTGCTGTTCTTATAGTCCGACTTGATATTAATACTAAGAAAATGGCACAAAATCGAGAACAGACCTAGAAAAACATACCGCCATGTCAGTGAACCGTTTGTTCACTACGTGCGTTTTTGTAGCAGTGAATAACCCGGGTATGAATGAAAACGGGTAGTTCACACTTATAATACTAGTCTGCAAGAAATCTACGCTAATCCACAATAAATTGAGGTAAGGTCTTCCGTTTTAGTGGCCACCTAACCCGATTCGGAGATTTAGAGATGAATGAAACTTCGTGGAGCTGTCTTCACTAGAGGCGTCTTATCCCCGTTCCATATCCATACAAATGTTCATTTACTGTGTGGCAAAACTTCTACTTCATGTGGACTTAGTGGATGATTCGTAAGTTAATTTCAAAATATTTATTTTCTACGGGCTTTTTTGGTTGATTTAATATCAGTAATATATATATATATATATATATATATATATTAGACGGCGGGCGGCTACCAGCAAGCGCTGTTGAAATTGCTACCATCACGCAGCCTTTTCGATCTCTATTTATTGACGCAAAATCTAAAATAGCCGAACGCTAATAGATCTGGGCACATAAGCAGGAAGTTCCCGTACGTTATGAGCTGGTTGCGTTCTGATTTGCCTGGTCGCCCACGTATTGATGGCGCCGAGCGATGTATGCGGTCTTGGTACAAGAAGTCCAAAAGACCTCAAGAGACACGTTGCATGACAATATAATACCTAATATACGGTAAAAGAACAAGAAAAGTGCAGGAAGCAGTGACGTGCGAATCTCCAACGGGTGACAGGTCATTGTGAATACAAGTGGTTCAGGAGAAAGAAAAAAGAGCAGGTTTTCAGCGTCGGTTTATTCCTTTATTTAATACAATGGTCGAATGAGTGACAAATTAGTTAATAAGGAGTCCTTAATGTTATTCGATGTGAAGAGACATTTGTGGAGCTTTTATACGAGCCTTATATATACACCATATACATATATCTATACCAACCTTCGTATATATTGCTCTGTTAAAGGGGAGATGATCCGGTCTCTCGCTGATCATAGCTTTCTCGACCAATCGATCATGTCATCCATACATACAATCGATGACGGATATATCTCGTTGAATTATTACTACCGACAATCGTCTTCGGCTTGGTAAGAGAGATATCCTAATGAATATTATATAATATATACTATATACTACCATATATAAGTATACATATGAAAGAGACAGAGTTAAAGAAAGAATTGATGTGGGTTATTGTTGCCTACATTCAACATATTGCTTGGCCCAATCAACCGCCCAATCCTAATTTGTAGTAGTCACAATAATAGGAAGAACTAGCTACGTACATACTGTATAAGATATATAGTATGAACTTGACTGTACTACAAACGTTCGCTTTTTTGCGAACAAATCATCAGTGCGTAACACGACCGCTACAGAAGTTAAACACAGTTACGAAAATTCGTAGCACTGTGACCTCGTTTTTTGCCAGATGCAGTCGATCAGGCAGCAGGCACCTGTTAATATGCATCACAGTGTGAGATCATTAAAAGGTAGTGTGGACGATGAACGAGTGAGTTCATTATGAGTATGTCCGTTGAATTGGCTTTCACTAGTCCTCAAGTCTGTTGTACAATGGGACTCCATTCGCAAATGAATCTTTGCTGGACTATTTTTGCAACTGCAAAAAGATATGTTTGGGTTTTTATCAAAGAACGACGAAGCTATACACCTATTTTAACTAAGCGGAGCTTTTTTATACTCTCGCCGACGAGGTTTTTGGCTGCGTTCCTTGTCAATGATGATGACACAGTATATCAATGAAATCAGCAGCTGAGCACCTGAGATATTTTTTACAACGAAAATTGTTATTATTGTTCTCTACACCACTGTTATGTTGTGAATTTTTTTTAGAAAATAATTTATTTAGATTTTTTCTGTGAGATAAGTTCTCTCATTTGTGACGAAAGCACGACGTACGACGGACGATAAAAAAGTATTTTACAATATCTAATATGGAAAAGACTATTCTATCATTATTACTAAAACATTATTTCAAAATATTTATGTTATAACCATTTTTTATCGAACGTTACCGTTAAGTTCATCCTTTAGCGCAAACTGTTAAATCGAATTGATATTGATTTTGTTTATTCCTATTAATTTATAACATGTGCAATGATATATTATCTACGATGCTGTTAAAATAACTTTTTTTGCTACACATATATGTACTAGACATTAACGGGAGAGTGATTATTCTTTTTTACTAATTAAATTGTGTGAATTGTTTGACTCTATGCGGACTAATATAGTGGAGTGTTACCTCGATTTTTAATATGAAGAAATTTTGACAGGCTCCTATGGATAGGATTCATTGAGTTCATTGATTTCTGAACTGTTGATTGCGAAATCGACATTGTTGTACCGTATGTATTATCTTTGCCGTACTTAGTGCAAGGCCTAGACAACACGACAAACAGCAACAGTTAAGACGACCGAATTGCGATTCGAAAAAAACTGAAGCTATTACTGTGGCGCTTTGGAACCGAAATATATAAACGCCTCTTCCGTAATCGCTAAACCTTAATAAAATAAATGAATGTATAAAATAATGCATGAAGCAGCGAATCATATGTACAATAAAAGAACATGCAAAATAAAAAAAAAAGTTAAAAAGTAACAAACACACTGGTTTTCTGTTGCGTTGCACGTCTATTTGTCTATTTGTTTAGCTCAGATCCACCTGTATTACAATATTCATGAATTGCTGACTTTGAGAGCGCGAACAACAGTAGCCGGAACAATTCTCTATGCTATGCGGAAAAACTAATTTTATTCATACGATTGATAAAATGTACATATATATCTGTATATGTTTAATAGGAAGCTCTAATAGGCCAGAGATATTAGGAATGAGCATAAGACGTTCACAAGACAAGTTATCTCGTCGATGTTTGTATTGCTCGGTTAAAACGGATGTCTGCCTCGCCTCTTCAACAATGCTTAGGACTTAAACTTCATTCCCAAACTAATGTTTGTATCGGTAGTAAACAGTGGAATTAATCTCAACTACCGGTATCAGGTTAAATCCAATGGACCTTTTGAAATATTCTACATTAGTTTGCTTTGTAGTGCACAGCTCTACGTTACCGATATTATCATATTTACTCGGTGCAAAGTGATCGTACACTTTCCGTTCGATAGCACCATATACATAAAACATTTACGTTTACGGTTGGAGTACGCAAACACCAGGGTGTGACGTGCCCATTGAATTCATATGTGATCAATCTGCATGCTCACAGATGTTCAAGAGACGGCATGCTCGACTTGTTCCGATCTATTTCTTTGCTTGTGTGAACACTACTTCGAAAAAAAAACTCCCAAAGCGACGGGACATTCTGGAAGATTTGCTTGCAGTTGATTAACGGATTAACGCTTTACCGAACAGCCGAAAAGTTCTGCTACGATTTTTGCTATCTTTTATAATGATCACTCGCTATTCACCTTAAAATTTGCCAATCGAATTCCGTAAAACAGCAAATGTTTCGTATAAATAGGTAGGTGATGGGCAATGAGTGTGTTTCATATGGCCACGATCTACGACATTGCTAAGAGTGATCCAGAAAAATGTGTCATCATTCCTGAAAACCTTTCGTTTTACTCCGCTCTCAGAATTCTCATTCTGATGAACGTGCATACGGGGGATAACGTGCCACCTCAGTAACACCGATAGCTATATGAATGAATGGCCTCTAATCTCTATATACTAACGCGTCGCAATATTGCACTTACACATATATTTACACACATTTATTCATATATATTAACAAGTACTGAAGATTCATGGTTCACCAATAACCGATTTTGTTCGAGGATATCATCATGGTGTCTCTCGAATCTCGTGCTAAGAAACACTAATCGGTACATCAAATGTAACGACTCAACCGTAGACTACTTTTGGAAGTCTAACAGCTGCCATAAACTACTATGCGAGAGGTTGAAGCAATCGATTAATAATAGAAAGATATTATAACACGTTACCGTCACATTTAACTTCCTATTTGTTTAGTAGGTAATTTGGAACTGAGGATTCATGACTTCGTAAACGCAGTAATCAGGTCTATAAGAAGGCCAATTATTATTCTATAATGAAGCACTCAAGAATTAGGAGCCTTGAACAATGATTGCACTGCTTATTTAGCAGGTGTAATTATTTCCCATAAAATCCTCCAGGATGCGCATTTTCGCTGTTGACCTGAATTTCAGTCTTGAAATTTAATTCTGATGCATTAATATAGCACGTTTGGAGGAGTTTTCTATAAAATGGCACTCAGATTGGGGCGAATAATTAGATGTCAATAAAAAAATAATTGAATATATCTGCATGTTTTTTTAAAATTACGATTTTTTTTTATTATTTTCATATTTTGTAATTAAAAAACAAATTACAAAAAAATCATATAATTTAAATAAAGATAACGTCAATGTAGTAGCCTCTTTTGGCTTTGTTTAAAGTAGTGATTCGTTACGCCCTGCTTTTAGCCATTTTTTTCATGCAGATCTGGCCCTATCTCTTCAATGGAAACACGGATCTTTGCCTGAAATTTGCTTACTGTGGATTGTTATACATGTTAATTAAAAATCGAGGAGGATTATGTCACGTGACCTGAGGGCCACTGGACGTCACTCCATCTGGAGGTCAGCCCCTCACGGAAACGACCCTCTAATAACGCGATTACATTAATTATCTGGAGGAGTAGGCCTACTAAAGCCACACTTTTTTCGACGATTTGAAGTTCAAGAAAATCCGAGATCATCCTTTGATAGGCAATGGAGTTTATAGTTTAGTTGAAAAAGAGAAGAGTCAATGATATTTCCAGCGTACATACCGCACCAAAACGTTATTTTTTTAGATGGAGCGGGAATTCTAGGCCCACGACAATTGACAGACGGAGTCAAATTCAAGAAAAATACCCCTACCCTCATTTCAAGTATAGGCAAGATATATGCAAAGACGTGTTTAAAGCTTGGTAAGGCGATCTGCTAAAAAGAAAGCTAAAGAATCGCACCTAATTAATGCTGTATATAAATAAAATGTTGTTAAAGATGTATAATAAAAAATGGTTCGTGTAAACGCATTTTAATTCTATGTTAGCGTCTCTATTAGAAGACAGCCTTTCTAGCATGCATTTTTACTCAACATAGATGCAAATTCCTATAGATAGATTCGAGAAACAAAGTTAGATGTTTCGTTAAAATCATACCTGTCTCCCATGTTCAGTTGTTTACTATTAGGTTAAAAATATCTTCAAATACATACTACTGTTGGTTATTACTGAATTTAGCACCTATATAGGAGCTATTAACATTCGATAAAACCTAACATATGAACTCGAATATGGAGCAGCAAAAAAAATATAAAATATTTGAAATTAAACAATGTATAGTTCAGATAACTAAGCTTAGTTAGATGTGAAGGCACACGCCGAACATATTCTCAATAAATGTAACTGTAATAAAAATATGCACCTGAAAACATAACCGATTAGATATGTCCAACCCGCCTTCAGCAATCTCTTGATTTCTATAATCTAAATTAGTCATCTGGTTTACCAGAGCGGTAAGCGAAAATATATCTTACAGAATATAAACTCTAAGACATTATGCTTCGCCGTGTTTATAGTCGTAAAGTTCAGTCCGAAGACCGAATTGGCTGAAACGAATGCTCTAAAACAAAACCTTTATATAGGCTGGCCAGTGGTCACTTACATATATCTATTGCAGATGGGATCAAGTACATAGTGAGTTCTATCTCGTATCGCCATAGCTATAACTAAGAGCGGAATGGCTTTGTTTTTTGCTATTTACAGTTAGTCTATCATATGCTACAAATGAACATCACATTATGCAGTAGTTTCTGTGGTAGCAGCTTGTATTGGAACGGACTTCCGTGCACCAGAAAGAGCCCAACCAAGCAGGTGTCAAGGTTATCGGGAAAATTTAGAAAATCGAAATTGCCGTTTTGTCCTATGTGCCAAGCTTCTGAAATAGTTACCACTGCAAGCCTAGGCAAACTTTGACAAATAAGACGCCAAAAATAAATCGCCTACAAAAATCCAATAAACATAATAATAATGTCAAACATCGTACGAATAATGAACAAAGAAAGAACGTTCATATGTGTTTCCGAATGACTGAGCTTCACAAATCAGTATTAGAGTCGAATGGTTAGAAATTCAGCACTCTGTCATTTGGGTATGTATTTTGTTCATCAATACAGTAGTCGACTAAAATAGAGTTCTCATGTTGTTTGTAAAGACACTCTGTTTCGAACAGTCGTGTTGCAGTTCACGAAAGACATTCAGCTGGAATACGGGGTTTCTGGTCTTGCAAATGTTTCTAAGTTGGTATATTATCATTGTTATGTAATGATGATACTTAATAAATATCTTAATTTACTTATGTCACGGGGGGGGGGGGGGGTAATTGTCATCTAGTAAGTGAGTTATAGATTGCAATGCCGTCTGCAAAGAATTCTACTTAATTCTGCTTCATTGAAGCGTGTTGACTCTGACTTCTATAGAAAACTTAATTTCTATGAATATTTTGCACTATATACAACACATAGGCACATAAGGAACCGTATTATTCAAATATTTTTTCCTTTCTCTGCTGCTCGTTTGCTAGATTATCCCGAAATGCAATTTTCGACATGTTGCCTGGTTCGCTTTTTATTAAGGTCAAAAACCTGCTGGACCAGACCGAAATATCAGTGCCGTATACCGTATCGACTGCCTGAAAGAACTACTGAAAGACGGTTTGGAAGTTTAGTAATGCCAGCTTAGAGCAGGAACCTTTCCTATGTCGCTCGTTTGACGTCAATGAGGATCGCCTGAAGGCTCTTTTGGTGGACAGCGACCGGCAAACAACTTGAAAAAATCATTTGCAGCCTTGTTGTGTTTTTGGACATCTTTATCTATAGGATTTACCAAAAAACGGGAAGCTTGAATGACCCATAGACTGAGTACGATGCAGATAGCAATATCCGTATGGCCTCTCAGTATTCGTCAGTCTCTCAACTGGGTGACACGAAGCGACAATGGCAGGTTTCTACACGGGATCGTGTCGAAAGTGGTGTCTCTACATCTATACAAAACGGAACAAGAGAAATGTGGTCCTGGATAATATGCCTAAAGCCTAAATTAGGTCAGATCGACATCTTACGAACTCATGATTTGCGTCTAATGGAATTAAAAGTGTTCCACACAGTGGGAAATACTAAACAAACAGGATGGTCAAGAAGGATCTGAATGTGACCTTGTTGCATAGACCGAACGATGTTGTTTCATAGAGATGATCTCATAGTTAGGGCAGACACGCTTTCACACGACAATATGAGACCATATATTGTCAAGATTGTTAAAACCGCCTTATCAGAGTTGAATAAAAGCTTCATTTTAGCCCACCATATTTTTCAGGGTAAGTTGTTGCTAGGGTTCAAGCTAAACGCCGTGTTTTTGGGGGCGAAAAATAGTATTACTGAAGGATCTAGCCAACGCACACCTATTTTTTGTTGAATGCCTACACGGAACTCCCTACATTGCCTAGACTCGGCGTGCAATACTACTTACGAAACTGAACTGACCAATAAATCTTTTAGGATTCACATGCGGAACTGCATTAGCGTTACATTAGACGGATGATTTCCGACACAAAACGGGCTTCTCCAAAATTTATATGGCAACACGTTGCCAGTAAGCGGGTGAGGGTATGC